AAATGAGTGAAATTGTATAAGGATTAGTTTATGGCGAGTCCAAGTTGCTCAGAGTGATTAAAAACTGCACCAACATCGTTTAAAATTGGTTTATGTTTATGGGGTAGCAAAATAGTTCAAAATCAAATCGGAGCGTGTTATCAAAAAACTTTTAAAACAAAAGTTGTTGTAAATTTTGTTCTTAACAATATTGCTCTCTTGCATTTTTGCTCTTAAATGCGTCAATATCGTGAAAAATAAGAAAATATCAAAATTTTATGAATTTATTGCTCTTTCAAGTTATTATAGGTAACACTTGGGAATCGGAGCATGTTACAAAAAAACTTTTAGAACAATAGTTGTAGCAAATTTTATACTTAGCAATATTCCTCTCTTTTACTTTTGCTCTCAGATGCATAGATATTGAGAAAAATACGAAATTATGAAAATTTGATGGATTTCGTTGTTTTACTAGATGTTAGGGTCACACTTGGGAATTGAAGCGTCTTACAAAAAAACTTTTAGAACAATAGTTGTAGCAAATTTTATCCTTAGCAATATTGCTCTCTTGCACTTTTGCTCTTAGATGCGTAAATATCGAGAAAAATACGAAAATGTGATGAATTTCCTGGTTTTACTATTAGCTAATGGTAATATTCGGGAATCGAAGCATGTTACAAAAATACTTTTAGAACAAAAGTTGTAACAAATTTTGTTCTTAACAATATTGCTCTCTTGTATATTTGCTCTCAGATTCGTCAATATTGAGAAAAATACGAAAATATGAAAATTTGACCAATTTTTTTGTTTTACTAGAGTTGATGGAAACATTTAGGAATCGGAACATGTTATCAAAAAACTTTTAAAACAAAAGTTGTAGCAAACTTTGTTCTGAGGAATATTGCTCTCTTATATTTTTGCTCTCAGATGCGTCAATATCGAGAAAAATACGAAAATATGAAAATTTGATGAATTTCCTTGTTTTACTATTAGCTAATGGTAACATTCGGGAATCGAAGCATGTTACAAAAATACTTTTAGAACAAAAGTTGTAGCAAATTTTGTTCTTAACAATATTACTCTCTTGTATATTTGCTCTCAGATTCGTCAATATCGAGAAAAATACGAAAATATGAAAATTTGACGAATTTTTTGTTTTACTAGTGTTAATGGTAACATTTAGGAATCGAAGCATGTTATCAAAAAACTTTTAAAACAAAAGTTGTAGCAAACTTTGTTCTAAGAAATATTGCTCTCTTATATTTTTGCTCTCAGATGCGTCAATAACAAAATACGAAAATATGAAAATTTGATGATTTTCTTTGTTTTACTATTAGTTAATGGTAACATTCGGGAATCGAAGCATGTTACAAAAATACTTTTAGAACAAAAGTTGTAGCTAATTTTATTCTTAACAATATTGCTCTCTTGTATATTTGCTTTCAGATTCGTCAATATTGAGAAAAATACGAAAATTTGATGAATTTCTTTGTTTTACTATTAGCGAATGGTAACATTCGGAAATTAAAGCATGTTACAAAAATACTTTTAGAACAATAATTGTAGCAAAATTTATTCTTAACAATATTGTTTTCTTTCGCTTTTGCTCTCAGATGTATCAATATCGAGAAAACACAAAAATGCGAAAATTTTATTAACTTGTCGTTTTACTTGCTCTTAATAGTAACATTTGAGAATTGGAGCATGTTATCAAAAAAGTTTTATAACAAAAATTGTAGCAAATTTTGTTCTTAACAATATTGCTCTCTTGTACATTTGCTCTCAGATTCGTCAATATTGAGACAAATACAAAAAATTGAAAATTTGATGAATTTCCTTGTTTTACTATTAGCTAATGGTAATATTTGGAAATCGGAGCATGTTATCAACAAATTTTTAGAACAAAAGTAGTAGCAAATTTTATTCTTACCACTACTGCTCTGTTGTATTTTTGCTCTCAGAAGCATCAATATTGAGAAAAATAAGAAAAACTTTAAAATTTGATGATTTTAGTTGTTTTACTAGTAGTTAGTGGTAGCACTCGGAAATCGGAGCATGATACAAAAAAAATTTTAGAACAAAAGTTGTAGCAACTTTTCTTCTTACCAATATTGCTCTGTTGTATTTTTGCTCTCAGATGCGTCAATTTTGAGAAAAATGCGAAAATATGAATATTTGAAGAATTCGTTGTTTTACTAGTAATTAATGGTAGCATTCGGAAATCGGAGCATGTTACAAAAAAACGTTTAGAACAAAAGTTGTAGCAACTTTTCTTCTTACCAATATTGCTCTGTTGTATTTTTGCTCTCAGATGCGTCAATATTGAGAAAAATGCGAAAATATGAAAATTTGAAGAATTCGCTGTTTTACTACAAGTTAATAGGTAGCACTCGGGAATCGGAGCAAGTTAGAAAAAAACTTTTAGAACAAAATTTGTTGCAAATTTTGTTCATAACAATATTGCTCTCTTCTATTCTTGCTCTCAGATGCGTCAATATTGAGAAAAATACAAAGATATGAAAATTTGATGTTTTTTGTTGTTTTACTACAAGTTGATGGGTAGCACTCGGGAATCGGAGCATGTCATCAAAAAACTTTTAAAACAAAAGTTGTAGGAAATTTTATTCTTACCAATATTGCTCTGTTGTATTTTTGCTCTCAGAAGCATCAATATTGAGAAAAATGCGAAAATATGAAAATTTGAAGAATTCGTTGTTTTACTACAAGTTAATGGGTAGTACTCGGGAATCGGAGCTTGATACAAAAAAACTTTTAGAACAAAAGTTGTAGCAAATTCTATTCTTACCAATATTGCTCTGTTGTATTTTTGCTCTCAGATGCGTCAATATTCAGAAAAATGCGAAAATATGAAAATTTGAAGAATTCGTTGTTTTATTAGTAATTAATGGTAGCACTCGAAAATCTGGACATGATACAAACAATTTTTTGAAGAAAAGTTATAGCAAATTTTATTTTTACCAATAATATGCGTCAATATTGAAAAAATAAGAAAAACTTTTAAATTTTATGATTTTAGTTGTTTTACTAGTAATTAATAGTAGCACTCGAAAATCCGAGCTTGATATAAAAAATCATTGCAACCAGATTTATGGGAATTAAGAATTTATTTATGGCACACTAAAAATGCGTTAAGTTAGCTTCAAAATGACATAGAGTTCACTATGATATCGCAATTAGTTTCTGAGATACGATTTAATCAATCTTATAATTAACAAATTGGATGAATTTATTGCATTTATTGCATAATAGTAACATTTGGGAATCGGAGCGTATTACAGAAAAACTTATGAAATAAAAGTTATAGCAAATTTTATTCTTAACAATATTGCTCTCTTTAATTTTTGCTCTCAGAGGCGTCAATATTGAAAAAAATATGAAAATTGGATGAATTTATTGCATTTATTGCATAGTGGTAATATTTGGGAAACGGAGTATATTAAAAAAAAAATTTGAAACAAAAGTTATAGCGAATTTTATTCTTAACAATATTGCTCTCTTTAATTTTTGCTCTCAGAGGCGTCAATATTGAAAAAAATATGAAAATTGGATGAATTTATTGCATTTATTGCATAGTGGTAATATTTGGGAAACGGAGTATATTAAAAAAAAAAATTTGAAACAAAAGTTATAGCGAATTTTATTCTTACCAATATTGCTCTCTTCTGCTCTTGCTCTCAGATGCGTCAATATTGAGAAAAATATAAAAATATGAAAATTTAATGTTTCTCGTTGGTTTACTAGTAGTTAATGGTAACATTCGGAAATCGAAGCATGATACAAAAAAACTTTTAGAACAAAAGTTATAGCAAATTTTATTCTTGCCAATATTGCTCTGTTGTATTTTTGCTCTCAGATGCATCAATATTAAGAAAAATACGAGAACTTAAAAAATTTATGGATTTTCTTGTTTTACTATTAGCTAATGGTAATATTCGGGAATCGAAGCATGTTATCAAAAAATTTTTAGAACAAAAGTTGTAGCAAATTTTCTTCTTAACAATATTGCTCTCTTGTATATTTGCTCTCAGATGTGTCAACATTGAGAAAAATGCGAAAATTTGAAAATTTTAAGAATTCGTTGTTTTATTAGTAATTAATGGTAGCACCCGAAAATCGGAGCATGATACAAAAAAACTTTTAGAACAAAAGTTGTAGCAAATTTTATTCTTACCAATATTGCTCTGTTGTATTTTTGCTCTCAGATGCGTCAATATTGAGAAAAATACGAGAATTTAAAAAATGTATGAACTTTCTTGTTTTACTATTAGCTAATGGTAATATTTGGAAATCGAAGTATGTTATCAAAAAATGTTTAGAACAAAATTTGTTGCAAATTTTCTTCTTAACAATATTGCTCTCTTGTATATTTACTCTCAGATGCGTCAATATTGAGAAATATGCGAAAAACTTTAAAATTTGATGATTATCGATTTTTTACTTACAACAAAAAATTAAACCAATTCTTAGAACACTTTTAAGTAAACATTCCGTACATTGCCTTTAATCTCGCTCTAAATACCACGACGAACACGTTTGTTTTTGATTCGCCAAAACCGCTCAAACGTATTCTAACCCCGTATCTTAATAACAAAGGGGGTTGTTTAACACCTGGACTTTTGGGACACTCCTTTGTGTTTCATTGCATCTTCATCGTTGTAAAAGTTTTACCTGAGAATTTAAGTTTAAACACAACAAAGGGATTTTTATTTCAACATCAGGCTCTCAACTCAAACTCAAACTCAGTAAAACTTTTTTTTTTAAATCACGTTTATTTATTAGTTTATTTCTTATATTTTTTTCAGTGCTGAAATCACGTTTTAATTTGAACTTGTTTGCTTTAATTCAAATTCTTGTTTATCTTTTTGTTTTGTGATTAATTTTCGAAACGAAATTAAGAAAGGATAAATAAAATGACCAACACTCAGGTGAGTTAAATAAATTTAATTCATTAATTAATCGATTAATTAATTAACTTTATCTATAATAAAATAACGATAACAATGAAAATAATAAAATTGATGGTTTCGGTTTAAAAAAATAATCTAACTTTCCAATTCACTTTCAATTACGATTCTCCTCCATCATTATTTTCTTTTTTAACGACTCAAATCGGTCTTGAACGTGCAGAAGACGTCAATAAACATTCGTTGACCTCAAGATCTCTGTTATTAACGAGTTTAAAGCTCCATGAAACGTAGGAATGCGCAAGAAATGTCTCTTTAGATATAGAAAGTGTAATCGTTTACGATTCTTCACGTTCTTGATGAAAGTTAAACATTTATTTAAACAAAAAGAGTGATTAAAACTCAAAAATAAATTTTTTAATAATTATTATTTCGTTCAAGTGTACTAATTAAATGTTTTAAGGTGATTAATAAAATTCTTATCGACGATATTTAGCGAGATTAGATAAAAATTAAATTTACAAAGTCGTACGTTATACAGCGTGTCCATAAAACGTAATAAATTTCGATTTTTTCTTTTTAAAATTTTTTTTTAAACGGAACAGCCTGTATATTATCCCCTGATTGAATTCTCCATCAAATTCCCTTTAATTAATTATAAGTATGTCATATATCTAACTTTATTAGTTTTCCTGATATTTAGAATTAAAAAAAAAGTGTAATTACACTTTATGAACACCCTGTAAGGTGCATCTAATATCTTTGGATGCTAATATAATAATAAATTTAATTGGATTCATAACCTGATGAAATATGTAGGATGTTGTATATAAAAAAATTTACTTAGTTGCGGTTACGCATAAACGGAACGCCCTGTATAAGTGAAAATAATTTTGCTTTGTAGAAAGTGGCGATTCAAACAACTTTTGTATGAAATATTTTTTTCTATCTCAAACGATTTAGTAACTATAGTAATAATTCGCCCTGTATATACAGGGTGATTATGATATTAAATCAATTAATTTTAAATAAAATCGATTTTAAATATTCTGCCTCGGCCGCAAGCGACCTCGGCGGAGTGAGGAAAGCGGTAGGTTTAAATACAAAGTCAGAAATTATTGTTTGAAAATGATTATATACATATACAGGGTGAGTTATTAATGTCGATAACTACTAAATAGAAAAAAATGCTTTAAACCAAAGTTGTACATTATACAGCGTGTTCATAAAACGTAATAAATTTCGATTATTTCTTTTTAAAAATTATTTTTAAACGGAACACCTGTATATTATCGCCTGATTGAATTCTCCATCAAATTCCCTTTAATTAATCATAGCTATGTTATATATCCAACTTTATTAGTTCTCCTGATATTTAGAATTAAAAAAAAATGTAATTACACTTTATAAACATCCTGTATGGTGCATCTAATATCTTCGCATGCTAATATAGTAATAATTTAATTCGATTCATAACCTGATGAAATATATGGGACGTTGTATTTAAAAAAATTTACTTACTTGCGGTTACGCATAAACGGAACAGCCTGTATAAGCGAAAATAATTTAGCTTTATAGAAAGTGGTGAGTCAAACAACTTTTGTATGAAACATTTTTTTCTATCTCAAATGGTTTAGTAACTATAGTAATAATTCGCCCTGTATATACAGGTGTTTCTGTAAATCGTGGCATAAATTTAATCTAAATCTAAATTTGTCTAAAATTAATATTTATATAATAAATAAAATTGATTTTAAATACTCTGCAACGGCTATGATATACTTGATAATGTCTGAATTTGTGTCTAAATGTTCCCAACTATTTCCAAGTGAGTCTAAATATATGTCTAAATGTCCCCAATTGATTCAAAGTCTGTCTAAATATTCCCAATTGCTTCAAAGTTATGTCTAAATGTGTCCAATTGATTCCTAGAGTGCCTAAATTTGTATCTAAATGTCCCCAAATACTTCCAAGTATGTCTAAATGTTCCCAACTGTTTCCAAGTGAGTCTAAATGTATGTCTAAATATCCCCAATTGATTCAAAGTGTGTCTAAATATTCCCAATTGCTTCAAAGTTATGTCAAAATGTGTCCAATTGATTCCTAGAGTGTCTAAATTTGTATCTAAATGTCCCCAAATACTTCCAAGTATGTCTAAATGTTCCCAACTGTTTCCAAATGAGTCTAAATGTATGTCTAAATGTCCCCAATTGATTCAAGATGTGTCTAAATGTTCCCAATTGATTCAAAATGTGTCTAAATGTTCCCAACTATATTCTAGTGAGTCTAAATATATGTCTAAATGTCCCCAATTGATTCAAAATGTGTCTAAATATTCCCAATTGCTTTTAAGTGTGTCTAAATGTGTCCAATTGATTCCAAGAGTGTCTAAATTTGTGTCTAAATGTCCCCAATTGTGCCCAACTGCTTCTAAATGTGTCTAAAGGTGTCTAAATGTGTTCGAAATAGATTAAAAAAATTTTTTTTTGTACAAAAAGGATCCCAATTCATATTTTATGCAAGAATTATGCAAGTTTAGATACAGATTTATTTATATTAATGATCTCTCCTTGTTTTGTGGTAATCGGCTCATCTTCAGGAACAATTTTAATCGAATTAGAATTAAAAAAAATTAAGTACATTAAATTTAGAACATAAAAAAGTTTATTTCTTTTTTTTTGTCACCAAGTGAGTCTAAATGTATGTCTAAATGGTCCCAACTGGTTCAAAGTTTGTCTAAATATTCCCAAATGCTTCTAAGTATGTCTAAATGTGTCCAATTAATTCCAAGAATGTCCAAATTTGTATCTAAATGTTCCCAATTATTTCCAAGTGAATCTAAATGTATGTCTAAATATCCCCAATTGATTCAAAGTATGTCTAAATGTTCCCAATTGCTTCTTAATGTGTCTAAATGTACCTAATTGATACCATGAATGTCTAAATTGGTATCTAAATGTTCCCAACTATTTGCAAGTGAGTCTAAATGTATGTCTAAATGGCCCCAATTGATTCAAAGTGTATCTAAATGTTCCCAATTGCTTCAAAATGTGTCTAAATGTATCTAATTGATACTAAGAGTGTCTGAATTTGTGTCTAAATGTCTCCAATTGTGTCCAAATGTGTCCAATTGATTCCAAAAATGTTTGAATTTGTATCTAAATGTCCCCAAATGCTTCCAAGTATATTTAAATGTTCCCAACTATTTCCTAGTGAGTTTAAATGTATGTCTAAATGTCCCCAATTGATTCAAAGTGTATCTAAATATTCCCAATTGCTTCAAAATGTGTCTAAATGTACCTAATTGATACTAAGCGTGTCTGAATTTGTGTCTAAATGTCTCCAATTGTGTCTAATTGATTCCAAGTATGTTTGAATTAGTATCTAAATGTCCCCAAATGCTTCCAAGTATATTTAAATGTTCCCAACTATTTCCTAGTGGGTTTAAATGTATGTCTAAATATTCCCAATTGCTTCTAAATGTGTCTAAATGTACCTAGTTGATACTAAGAGTGTCTGAATTTGTGTCTAAATGTCTCCAATTGTGTCCAAATGTGTCCAATTGATTCCAAAAATATTTGAATTTGTATCTAAATGTCCCCAAATCCTTCCAAGTATATTTAAATGTTCCCAACTATTTTGTAGTGAGTTTAAATGTTTGTCTAAATGTCCCCAATTGATTCAAAGTGTGTCTAAATGTTCCCAATTGCTTCAAAATGTGTTTAAATGTACCTAATTGATACTAAGAGTGTCTGAATTTGTGTCTAAATGTCCCCAAATGCTTCCAAGTACATTTAAATGTTTCCAACTATTTCCTAGTGAGTCTAAATGTATAAAAGGGATGAAATTCTCCATATTTCTCAATAAAATATATAAAAAAATAGAAAAAGTAAAAACTTTTTGTGAGAAATAATTAAATATTAAAATTCATAAGTTTATTTCCAATATTTCTAAATGTTTTATTTTCATTTTTAACAAAAAGAAAACCTATATAGAAATAATTTTATTTTTTAAGAAAATTTGCTAAAAAATTTACTAAGATATTCCCAATTTATTTATATTTTTGTATTTTTTCCATCATTTTGCATATATTTTCAAGTACTGAAGATGAAACAATCGTTTCGAAACATGTCTGCTCTTTAATAATAAATTTTAATATTTAATTATTTCTCACAAAAAGTTTTTACTTTTTCTATTTTTTTATATAGTCTAAATGTATGTCTAAATGTCCCCAATTGATTCAAAGTGTGTCTAAATGTTCCCAATTGCTGCTAAGTGTGTCTAAATGTACCCAATTGATTCCAAGATTGTTTAAATTTGTATCTAAATGTCCCCAAGTATATCAAAAGGTTCCCAATTATTTCCATGTGAGTCTGAATGTCCCCAATTAATTTATATATTAATTATATTAATATATATTATTATATTATATTAATATTTAGAAGAAATAATAAATAAAATCGATTTTAAATATTCTGCCTCGGCCGCAAGCGACCTCGGCTATGATTATATACCAAGATCATGACGGATTGTCTTTGATGAGTGTGATATATGATGAGCAAAATTGTCTAAAATTAATATTTAGAAGATGTAATAAATAAAATCGATTTTAAATATTCTGCCTCGGCCGCAAGCGACCTCGGCTATCATTATATGTCAAAATCATGAAGGATTGTCTTTGATGAGTGTGATATATGATGGCCAAAATTATCTAAAATTAATATTTACAAGATGTAATAAATAAAATCGATTTTAAATATTCTGCCTCGGCCGCAAGCGACCTCGGCGGAGTGAAGAAAGCGATAGGTATAAATACAAAGTCAGAAATTATTGTTTCAAAATGGTTATATACATATACAGGGTGAGTTATTAATGTCGATAACTACTAAATAGAAAAAAATTTTTTAAACCAAAGTTGCACATTATACAGCGTGTTCATAAAACAATAAATTTCGATTTTTTCTTTTAAAAATTTTTTTTAACGGAACACCCTGTATATTATCCCCTGATTGAATTCTACATCAAATTCCCTTTAATTAATTATAACTATGTCATATATCTAACTTTATTAGTTCTCCTGATATTTAGAATTTAAAAAAAATGTGTAATTACACTTTATGAACACCTGTATGGTGCATCTAATATCTTTGGATGCTAATGTAATAATAAATTTAATTGGATTCATAACCTGATGAAATATATAGGACGTTGTATTTAAAAAAATTTACTTACTTGCGGTTACGCATAAACGGAACAGCCTGTATAAGTGAAAATAATTTTGCTTTGTAGAAAGTGGTGAGTCAAACAACTTTTGTATAAAACATTTTGTTCTATCTCAAATGGTTCAGTAACTATATAATTCGCCCTGTATATACAGGGTGTTTCTGTAAATCGTGTCATAAATTTAATTTAAATACTTGGAATGTCTGTATTTGTGTCTAAATGTTCCCAACCATTTCCAAGTGAGTCTAAATGTATGTCTAAATATCCCCAATTGATTCAAAGTGTGTCTAAATATTCCCAATTGCTTCTAAATGTGTCTAAATATGTCCAATTGATTCCTAAAATGTCTGAATTTGTGTCTAAATGTTCCCAACTACTTCCAAGTATGTCTAAATGTTCCCAACTGTTTCCAGGTGAGTCTAAATGTATGTCTAAATGTCCCCAATTGATTCAAAGTGTGTCTAAATGTTCCCAACTATATTCTAGTGAGCCTAAATATATGTCTAAATGTTCCCAATTGATTCAAAGTGTGTCTAAATATTTCCAATTGCTTCAAAGTTGTGTCTAAATGTGTCCAATTGATTCCAAGAATGTCTAAATTTGTATCTAAATGTCCCCAATTGATTCAAAATGTGTCTAAATGTTCCCAACTATATTCTAGTGAGTCTAAATATATGTCTAAATGTCCCCAATTGATTCAAAGTGTGTCTAAATATCCCCAATTGATTCAAAGTGTGTCTAAATATTCCCAATTGCTCCTAAGTGTGTCTAAATGTGTCCAATTGATTCCAAGAATATCTAAATTTGTGTCTAAATGTCCCCAATTGTGCCCAACTGCTTCTAAGTGTGTCTAAATGTGCTCGAAATAGATTAAAAAAAATTTTTTTGAACTACAAGGATCCCAATTCATATTTTATGCAAGAATTATGCAAGTTCAGATACAGATTTACTTATATTAATGATCTCTACCGGTTTTGTGATAATCGGCTCATCTTCAGGAACAATTTTAATTGAATTAGAATTAAAAAAAATGAAGTACATTAAATTTAGAACATGAAAAAGTTTATTTACTTCGTCTTTTTTGTTACCAAGTGAGTCTAAATGTCCCCAATTGATTCAAAGTGTGTCTAAATGTTCCCAATTGCTTCTAAGTGTGTCTAAATGTACCCTATTGATTCCAGGAATGTCTAAATTGGTAGCTAAATGTTCCCAACTATTTCCAAGTGAGTCTAAATGTATGTCTAAATGGCCCCAATTGATTCAAAGTGTGTCTAAATGTTCCCAATTCCTTCAAAATGTGTCTAAATGTATCTAATTGATACTAAGAGTGTCTGAATTTGTGTCTAAATGTCTCCAATTGTGTCCAAATGTGTCCAATTGATTCCAAAAATGTTTGAATTTGTATCTAAATGTCCCCAAATGCTTCCAAGTATATTTAAATGTTCCCAACTATTTCCTAGTGAGTTTAAATGTATGTCTAAATGTCCCCAATTGATTCAAAGTGTGTCTAAATGTTTCCAATTGCTTCAAAATGTGTCTAAATGTACCTAATTGATACTGAGAATGTCTAAATTTGTGTCTAAATGTCCCCAATTGTGTCTAATTGATTCCAAGAATGTTTGAATTTGTATCTAAATGTCCCCAAATGCTTCCAAGTATATTTAAATGTTTCCAACTATTTCCTAGTGAGTCTAGATGTGTGTCTAAATGTCCCCAATTGATCAAAATGTGTCTAAATATACCTAATTGATACTAAGAGTGTCTGAATTTGTGTCTAAATGTCCCCAATTGTGTCTAATTGGTTCCAAGAATGTTTGAATTTGTATCTAAATGTCCCCAAATGCTTCCAAGTATATCTAGATGTTCCCAACTATTTCCTAGTGAGTTTAAATGTATGTCTAAATATCCCCAATTGATTCAAAGTGTGTCTAAATATTCCCAATTGCTTCAAAATGTGTCTAAATGTACCTAATTGATACTAAGAGTGTCTGAATTTGTGTCTAAATGTGTTCAATTGTGTCCAAATGTGTCCAATTGAGTTCAAAAATGTTTGAATTTGTATCTAAACGTCCCCAAATGTTTCCAAGTATATTTAAATGTTCCCAACTATTTCCTAGTGAGTTTTAATGTATGTCTAAATGTCCCCAATTGATTCAAAGTGTGTCTAAATATTCCCAATTGCTTCAAAAAGTGTCTAAATATACCTAATTGATACTAAGAATGTCGGAATTTGTGTCTAAATGTCCCCAATTGTGTCTAATTGGTTCCAAGAATGTTTGAATTTGTATCTAAATGTCCCCAAATGCTTCCAAGTATATCTAGATGTTCCCAACTATTTCCTAGTGAGTTTAAATGTATGTCTAAATATCCCCAATTGATTCAAAGTGTGTCTAAATATTCCCAATTGCTTCAAAATGTGTCTAAATGTACCTAATTGATACTAAGAGTGTCTGAATTTGTGTCTAAATGTCTCCAATTGTGTCCAAATGTGTCCAATTAATTCCAAAAATGTTTTAATTTGTATCTAAATGTCCCCAAATGCTTCCAAGTATATTTAAATGTTCCCAACTATTTCCTAGTGAGTTTTAATGTCTGTCTAAATGTCCCCAATTGATTCAAAGTGTGTCTAAATATTCCCAATTGCTTCAAAAAGTGTCTAAATGTACCTAATTGATACTAAGAGTGTCTGAATTTGTGTCTAAATGTCTCCAATTGTGTCCAAATGTGTCCTATTAATTCCAAAAATGTTTGAATTTGTATCTAAATGTCCCCAAGTGCTTCCAAGTATATTTAAATGTTCCCAACTATTTCCTAGTGAGTTTAAATGTATGTCTAAATGTCCCCAATTAATTCAAAATGTGTCTAAATACTCCCAAATGCTTCTAAATGTGCCCGAATTAGATTTTTTTTATCCAAAACGTTCCCAATCAATATTTAATACAAAAATAATCCAAATTCATCAATTTTCTAGTAACCAACTCACCTTAAAGAGCAATTTTAATCGAATTAATATTAAAAAAAATAAATTCTATCTATATTTATTCATTTTTTTTGTTTCTTACTTAAAAATTTCTCAAATTCTTCTTCGTAGTCGTTTTTTTTTTAATCTAATCTATCACTAAGACCTAATTAATCACCCAAATTCTTAAATACAAAACATTTGTACTAAAAAAATTTCTTTTTTAGCTATTTTTTAGGGGTGTGAGAAGCTCGAAGTTCCGCCACGTTTACGGAGAGCCCTCAAAACGCGAGAAATGCTACGATAACGTTAAAATAACGAAAAACGCGCATGATTCTCAATTTTGCGCGGTTAATCCGAAATTTTTAGCCGTCGTAACCGAAGTGGCTGGAGGTGGTGCTTTTATTGTGTTACCTATTGCGAGTGTGAGTTTAAATTTTGGGATTAAATTGGATTTTTTTTTGGTAATTTTTGGGTTTTAGACGGGGAGGTTGGATTTTAATGTGAATCGAGTTACTGGGCATACTGGGGCTGTTTTGGATATTAAATGGAATCCTTTTAATGATAATGTCATTGCTAGTTGTTCTGATGATTGCACGGTAATTCTTTTTTATTTCATAATTTAATATATTAATATATATATTTTTTTGGATTAATTTAAGATTAAATTGTGGTACATCCCTGATGATGGCTTAACTTCTCATTTAACCGATTGGATCGTTGACTTACAAGGTCATAAAAGACGCGTAGCTTACATCGAGTGGCACCCAACCGCTGAAAATATTCTTTTCAGCGCGGGATTTGACCACTTAGTGATCGTTTGGGATATTGAAAAAGGTGAAGCTGTAAATATCATCGATTGCCACCCCGATGTGATTTATGGGATGAGTTTGAACCGCGATGGGAGTCTTTTGGCGACCACCTGTAAAGATAAAAAGTTGAGGGTGATTGAGCCAAGATCTGGATTGGTTAAATCTGAAGGAGTTTGCCACTCCGGGTCGAAAGCGAGTAAAGTTGCGTTTTTGAATTCGAATCGATTGATAACGACGGGATTTTCGAGGCACTCCGATCGGCAGTATTCGGTTTGGGATCAAGATGATTTGGCGAAACCTTTGGTGACGAATGATATTGATAGCTCGTCGGGGATTGTCTTTCCCTACTTCGATTACGACACGAATATCGTGTATTTGGCGGGGAAAGGTGACGGGAACATCCGGTATTATGAGATAGTGGATGAGGCGCCGTACGTGCATTTTTTGAGCCAATTTTTATCGGGAAATCCTCAGGTATGTAGATATTTTGTTGTTTTACTACAAATAATAGGAAGTATTCGGGAATCGGAGGATGTTACAAAAAAATTTTTAGAACAAAAGTAGTAGGAAATTTCATTCTTACCAATATTGCTCTCTTATATTTTTGCTCCCAAATGCGTCAATATTGAGAAAAATGTAAAAATTTGATGAATTTCCTTGTTTTACTATTAGTTAATGGTAACATTCGGGAATTGAAGCATGTTATCAAAAAACTTTTAGAACAAAAGTTGTAACAAATTTTATTCTTACCAATATTGCTCTCTTATATTTTTGCTCTCAGATGCGTCAATATTGAGAAAAATGCGAAAATATGAAAATTTTAAGAGTTCGTTATTTTACTACAAGTTAATGGCTAGTACTCCTGAATCGGAGCATGATACAAAAAAACTTTTAGAACAAAAGTTGTTGCAAATTTTATTCTTAGCAATGTTGCTCCTTTACACTTTTGCTCTCAGATGCATTAATATCGAGAAAATTTCAAAATAGGGAAAATTAGATGAAATTGTGATTTTACATCATGCTGTTGATAGACGGGATTCGGAACGTGTTAGAAAAAAAGTTTTAGTATAAAAGTTTCAGTAAAATTTATTTTCAGCAAGTTTATTATTTTACACTTTTGTTCTCAGATGAATAGATATCGAGAAAAATACGAAAATTTGAAAATTTTGTGAATTTTATTGTTTTAAGTAGGTAATGGTAACATTTATGAATCGGAGCATGTTATAAAAAATCTGTTAGAACAAAAGTTGTTGCAAATTTTATTCTTACCAATATTGCTCTATTGTATTTTTGCTCTCAGATGCATCAATATTGAGAAAAATGCAAAAATTTGAAGAATTCGTTGTTTTACTATAAGTTAATAGGTAGTACTCAGGAATCGGAGCATGTTACAAAAAAACTTCTAAAACAAAAGTTGTAGCAAATTTTATTCTTACCAATATTGCTCTATTTTATTTTTGCTCTCAGATGCGTCAATATTGAGAAAAATGTGAAAATTTAAAAAATTTATGAATTTTCTTGTTCTGCTATTAGCTAATGGTAACGTTTGGAAATTGGAGCATGTTATCAAAAAATTTTTAGAACAAAAGTTGTTGCAAATTTTGTTCTTAACAAATTGCTCTCTTGTATTTTTGCCCTCAGATGCGTCAATGTTGAGAAAAGTAGGAAAATTTAAAAATTGATGAATTTTCTTGTTTTACTATTAGCTAATGGTAACATTTCGGAATCGGAGCGTGTTATTAAAAAACTTTTAGAATAAAAGTTGTAGCAAATTTTATTCTTACCAATATTGCTATATTGTATTTTTGCTCTTAGATGCGTCAATATTGAGAAAAATGCGAAAATATGAAAATTTTAAAAATTCGTTGTTTTGCTACAAATAATGGGAAGTACTCGGGAATCGGAGCATGATACAAAAAAATTTTTAGAACAAAAGTTGTAGCAAATTTTATTCTTATCAATATTGCTCTATTGTATTTTTGCTCTCAGATGCGTCAATATTGAGAAAAATGCGAAAATATGAAAATTTGAAGAATTCGTTGTTTTACTACAAGTTAATGGGTAGTACTCGGGAATCAGAACATGATACAAAAAAACTTTTACAACAAAAGTTGTAGCAAATTTTATTCTTACCAATATTGCTCTCTTGTATTTTTGCTCTTAAAAGCATCCATATTGAGAAAAATAAGAAAAACTTTAAAATTTGATGATTTTAGTTGTTTTATTAGTAGTTAATGGTAACACTGGGAAATCGGAGTATGATACAAAAAAATTTTTAGAACAAAAGTTGTAGCAAATTTTATTCTTACCAATATTGCTCTCTTGTACTTTTGCTCTTAGATGCGTCAATATTGAGAAAAATACAAAAATATAAAAATTTTATGTTTTTCGTTGTTTTACTAGTAGTTAATGGTAGCACTCGAAAATCGGAGCGTTATCAAAAAATTTTTAGAACAAAAGTTGTTGCAAATTTTGTTACTAACAATATTGCTCTTTTATATTTTTGCTCTCAGATGCGTCAATATTGAGAAAAATACGAGAATTTAAAAATTTGCTGAATTTTTTGTTTTACTATTAGCTAATGGTAACATTTGGAAATCGAAGCATGTTATAAAAAAACTTTTAGAACAAAAGTTGTTGCAAATCTTGTTATTAACAATATTGCTCTCTTGTATATTTGCTCTCAGTTGCGTCAATATTGAGAAAAATACAAATATTTAAAAAATTGATTAATTTTTTTGTTTCATTATAAGCTAATGGTAACATTTGGAAATCGGAGCATGTTATCAAAAAACTTTTATAATAAAAGTTATTGCTTATCGTATTCTTAACAATATTGCTCTCTTGTATTTTTGCTCTCAGATACGTCAATATCGAGAAAAATACGAAAATTTGGAAATTTGATAAATTTCTTTGTTTTACTATCAGCTAATGGTAACATTTGGGAATCGGAGCATGTTATCAAAAAGCTTTTATAACAAAAGTTGTAGCAAATTTTCTTCTTAACAATATTGCTCTCTTGCATATTTGCTCTTAAATGCGTCAATATCAAGATAGATACCAAAATATAAAAATTTTAGGAATTTGTTGCTCTTTCAAGCTATTGAAGATAACACTTGGGAATCGGAGCAAGCTATAAGAAATTTTTTATAACAAAAGTTGTAGCAAATTTTATTGTTAACAATATTGCTCTGTTGCACTTTTGCTCTTAGATACGTCAATATCGAGATAAACACGAAAATATGAAAATTGAAAATTGTTATAAATTTATTGACAGCGCGCCCGCTCGAAGGTTAATTAATTATTTTTATTAATTAATACATTTTACAATGTTTAAATCCCTTAATGATTTCCTCAGCACATGTTTTTGAATTAATCTAATATCGTTTTAGAGTAAAGATTCGATTAGTTTCTTAATGGCCATAATTTGCTTAGTAGGAATGTTTTCACATCACTTTTTAGTGCAGAAATTGAAACAGCTGTATGAATAATTTCATTCTTTTTCCCCATTTTTATTAGTTTAATCAAATTAATCAAAATAGGCTACTGGAGTGGCCGATAAAATATACAACCTTAATTGGTACGAAGCGGATGTATCGACGCGCAAAAACAATAAAGCAATGGTAACATTTGGGAATCGAAGCATGTTATCAAAAAACTTTTAGAATCAAAGTTGTAGCAAATTCTGTTCTTAATAATGTTGCTCTCTTGTATTTTTGCTCTTAGATACGCAAATATCGAGAAAAATACGAAAATATGAAAATTTGACGAATTTTTTTTGTTTTACTAGTGTTAATGGTAACATTTTGGATTTGGAGCATGTTATCAAAAAACTTTTAGAACAAAAATTGTTGCAAATTTTGTTCTTAACAATATTGCTCTCTTGTACATTTGCTCTCAGATGCGTCAATATTGAGAAAAATACGAAAATTTAAAAATTTTATGAATTTTCTTGTTTTACTATCAGCTAATGGTAACATTTGGAAATCGGAGCATGTCATCAAAAAATTTTTAGAACAAAAATTGTTGCAAATTTTGTTATTAACAATATTACTCTCTTGTATATTTGCTCTAAGATGCGTCAATATTGAGAAAAATACGAAAATTTGATGAATTTCGTTGTTTTACTATTAGCTAATGATATCATTTGG